GAATTTACCAGAAAAAAGCAACACGTGGCCGTTGAGTCATAGAGACGAAATTTTCGGGTGACATTCGAAAGCGTCTAGAAACTACGAGTACAGAGTGGGCTTTGTATAAATAGCGCAAGTTCGTCGACGGATGGGCAGTTTAAAATAAAGTATTGGATTGGAAAGATAAATTGTAATAAATAAATTAGAATTGTGAGCCAGTGCCTAAGTATTATATAAATTAATTGGTACGTCATAAATAAATTGTAAATAGTGTTTTAAAATAAATAAACTATAAATAAATTAAACAACCGTCACAGCATGTTACCAAAATAGTCGTCAGAAATGAAGCTGTGGAAGACGCTGTTTTGGGACATGTTGAATTGGATCATACGCGAGGTACTCGTCAACTAGCTGAACTCTCGGATGTCTCTCGTTCATCTATAATAAGGATTTTAAAAGCTCACAAATTTCATCCGTACAAAACAAGATTAGTACAAGAGCTGAACGAGGATGATCCTGATAGAAGGCTGCAGTTTTGTGAAGAAATGAGCCAGTGTTTAATTGCAGATCCTGACTTATTATTTAATATTTGTTTTTACGATGAGTGTAGGTACATTTTATTTAAATGGATCTTTCAATAGGCATAATTGCCGTTACTAGGATGACAGTAACCCACATTTATTCCGTAAGTATCATACCCAACACACTGAAAAAATAAATGTTTGGTGTGGTATATTAGGTAACCATATTGTAGGACCACTTTTCATTCCTGGAAATTTAACCAGTGAGGTGTACCTAAACATGCTTGAAGATGAAATTGACCCTCTTATAACAGAAATATTAGAAAGTGTCCCAAATCATGATGTTGATCATTTTCATTTCCAGGAAGATGGAGCATCTCCGCACTATGCTGGTGCTTTAAGGGAATTTTTAAATAACCGGTACTCTGAACAGTGGATTGGAAAGAGAGGCCCAATTGAATGGCCTACAACCACCGAATTTATCGTCTCAGGACTAATTTCTTTGGGAACACTTGAAGAATAAATGTTTTGATACGAAGCCTAGTTCCATACAAGATCTTCGCCAACGGATAATAGCTGAGTGCAGGAGAATAATACCTGAAATTCTAGAAAATGTTCGCAATAGATTTAAACAAAATTTGTTTTATTGCATTTCACATTTTTAACACCTGTTAAATTAATGTTTTAATAAATCTTTAACAAATCAATTTTACATTTTATTACTTTTTTTAGAAAGTAGGTAAACTTAAAAACTAACAAAATTGAAATGAAATTTCCCATTGAAATGTAATTTCCCATAAAATTATCTTTTCAAAAATGTACCACTCTTGGTATTGTCCTTATCTAAATTTTAGGGGTTGTTCACCTCATACTCGAGGGTCCAAGCATCGATGCTGAAATAAGGAAAAAGATGTGTCCTGCTTCAAACAAAAATCGACTTGTCCGAGCATTTCTTCTTTAAATCTGAGGTAACCAAGAAAAATCTTATATATATATATATATATATATATATATATATATATATATATATATATATATATATATATATATATATATATATATATATATATATAATATGTTTATTCAAATATTTTAAAAGTACAAACCTAAATACATAATCATACGAATAAACATGAAACACCGCAGAAACTGAATACAATCAGTTTGTACGCGGGTAAATATAACAGGTTAAAAAATACTTATATAAAATTAAATAATTAAATTTACAATTACTATCTTAACTTTAAAACAACTATTTATTTACTTATTTATATACATTACTTACCTACAAATACAGAACGAAATCAGTTAATATATAAATTAAAAATTAAAAATAGGGTTACAATCAAAAATAAAAGTCTAATCCGTGAAGTGAGGTCTCAAATAGTTAATTTTTAACAATCTTAGGTTTTTTTTCCTTATTATTACTATTATATTTGTTTTATTTATTATGTGTATCTGTAACACGTATAATTAGAATGTTAAGCATTTATTTATAATCTGATGGAATAAATATCGATCCGTCTCTAAAATCCAGTTTTTAAGTTTAGTTTTGTAATTAAGAAAATTTTTAATTTGTTTCAGTTCCTTTGGAAAATAATTAAATAATTTAGAGCTAATGTAGTTGCAACTGTGTTGACCTATTGTTTTATTGCATTTAGGAAGCTGTGTTTTATATTCTTTGTTGCGTGTTTCATAATCATGTTTTGCGCATTGTATTAAAATTTTCTCTTTATGAATATTAATAAGTATTTTAAACGCAAATAATTGTCGTACATCACATATTTTATTCTGTTGATATAAGAGATTACTTGAATATATAATTGGTTTATTATAAATTATTCTTAACATCCATTTTTGTATAATATGTAATTTGTTTATGTATATATCTAACACACCTCCCCATCCTAATATACCATACTGAAGCAAACTTTGTACTAAGGCAAAATAAATAATTTTTAGGTGTTGTGTATCCAAAAAGTCTCTTAATAATTTAAATCTAGATAAAAGGCCTCTGATTTTATTCGTTAAATTATTTATGTGCAAGTCCCATCTTAGGTGCCTATCTATAATTATTCCAAGATATCTGATGGAGTCTGCTTCTGGAATTTCAGTGTCTTTATCGATAATTAATGGACCAAGTATTGGTAAGCCCGAAACATAGGATGAAAAAGAAAGGTATTTGGTTTTTTTAATGTTAAGAGTATATGCAAACCAATTTTTTATTTCAACCATATCTTTCTCTGCCTTTTGTTTTAGCAACTGCCATGATTGTTCTTAATATAAAATAGCAGTGTCATCGGCGAAACTAATTGTACTTCCTCTCGTTTTCATTTTTAATAAGCTGTTAATATATAAGGTAAACAGGATGGGACCTAAAACTGTTCCTTGAGGAACACCATATACAACATTTTTTTGTTTGCTGGCAACATTGTCTATTGAAACGGTTTGCGTTCTATCAGTTAAGTAACTTTTTATTAGACTATAAGTATTTCCTCTTACACCATATGAATAAAGCTTATGTAATAGTTTGTTATGACAAACAGTATCAAATGCTTTAGAGAGGTCTATAAATATGCAAAGAGTAGGTGTCCTTTTATCAAGTGCATTATATATTTCTGAAGTTAATTTTAAAATTGCATCTTCTGTTGACTTACCTTCTCTAAAGCCATACTGTTTGTCACTAATTATGTCGTTGGCTTTAAAAAAACTTGGTAATCGGAATTTTAAAATTTTTTCTATAATTTTCGAAATATTAGAAATTAATGATACAGGTCTGTAATTTGATATTTCACTTTTATCCCCACCTTTATATAATGGTTTGATCATTCCTGTCTTAAGTACTTTAGGGAAAATTCCTGTTTCGAATATTTTATTAATAATATAGGTAAGTGGTTCCTTTATTTCATATGATATTTGTTTAAGCGTTTCGGCTCTTAGATTATCAGCTCCAGGTGATTTTTTATTTTTTAATGTATGAATGGTATTAAATACTTCAGTGACATTAGTTGGAAATAAGTACATTGTATTTTGTGTAAGTTCAATGTCTTCAGAAAAATCAAGAGGTGGTTCAATGCTGTTTGCTAAAACTTCTCCAATCTCACTAAAATAGGTATTAAAAGCGTTTGAAATGTCTAGTTTATTCTTTATTATTTTATTCTTATGTAGAATTTTTTCGATTTCTGTTTTATTTTGTTTTTTATTGCAAATTTTATTTACGCAATCCCAAACGTTCCTTGATGAATTATTTGAATTTTCTATCATTTTTTTTGCATATTCTTTTTTACTTTTTTTGATTGACTTTATTAATTTATTTTTAAAGATTATGTATGTTTGTTTTAACTCTGAATCATTGGGATTATTTTTTATTTTTAAGTATAATTCATTTTTTTTGTTTATTGAGTTAAGGAGACCTCTAGTTATTCATGGCTTTTTGTTGGTGTTTTTATTGTTTTGTTTTATTCTTGTCGTACTTTTTGTGATATAAAACTTTATTTTATGAATAAAGTTTTCAAGCATCATATCAATATTTTTTTCATAGTACACATTAGACCATATTTCAGTTTTTGGTAATTTATAAATTCTTTATACTCTATTTTATTATTTTTATTTATATTAGTGTTAAGTGTATCATGATATATTACTAATGCAATGGGAGAGTGATCTGTCAGATCATATCTAAAGATAAATGACTGAATTAAAGCTGCTGGTAATATATAATTTTTTACGAAAAAATGGTCTAAGCAAGTACGACTCTCAGGTCGAGTAAATTCATTTGTGTACGATACATAATCCTGTGAATTTAAAATATTTTTATATTCTTCTACATCTAAGTTATTTTCATCCAATAAATTAATATTAATGTCACCAGTTAAGATTTGTAAATGTTTGTTATTATTGTTATTTTGCAAGTATTCATTCAGATGATTAACAAAGTGTTTTGGGCAAGTGCTAGGTGATCTATATAATGCTGTTAATGTATATTGTATCTTCGTAGAAAAATTTAATAATACTTCAATTGCTTTTGTTTCTCCTATATTAATAATTTTATGGTTAAAGGATAAATCTGTTTTTAAATAAATCAAAATTCCGTCATTTTTGTTCATATCGCCAAAATTATATATTACCTCGTAGCCATTAAGAGAATATAGTGTAACATCTGAAATATAGAATGTTTCTGAAAGTACAATTATATCAAAATTAGTATTTAAAGTAGATAGAAACAGATTTAATTCATCGAAATGCTTATGTATACTTCTTATATTAAAGTGAATTATTTTTATATTGTTTGGACTATGCTCATATTTAAATTCAGGTAATCTATTTACAATTGTGCTTTTTATTGGATCATTTTCATAATCCCTTAAAAATGCATCCATGATAATATGTGAATAGTTTTTTTTTTGTTTTGTTAATGTATGATATTAATAATAAACATTTACATGTAATAATGACAAAAAACAGAGGAAAATAAAAACTACAAATAAACAATGTACGTTACTTGTTACTATTTTTTCTTGTAACTCTGTTGGATGTACTATAAGTGGAATTTGTTGTTGATTTTGACTTTTCATTTGGTTTCTTCTCTGCCTTTTTTTCTTCTCTGTCTTTTTTTTCGGTATTCTTTTCTTCTTTGTTTGTCTCTATTCTTGTGTCTTCACTTTCATTTAAATGTATTTCATGCAGTTTTGATTTTTCAAGTGTTTTGTCCATTGGTTTCTCACTTTGCTCGTTATTCGCGCACAAGATAGGAATTTGTGGTGTTTTCAGATGAAATAGATTCAAACTATCTTCAAAAAAAGTTAAGCCGTTATTTGTAGATGGAGTTGGTGGGGCACTAGTTAAGCCGTTATTTGTAGATGGAGTTGGTGGGGCACTATTTGTATTAATCTTTGTTTGGTTAGCATCAGGACTATGTGGAGGTGTTTCTGTTTTCTTTTCACTTATATCATCATTTATGTCCATTCGTTGTAATTCTTTAATTGTGTACACATCATTATTGACTATTAAAGTACGGCCCTTAATTCTTGCGTGATAATGACGCGACCTTGCTATGTTTAAATGTTTTTGAAGAAGTTTTCTATCTTGTCTATCCTCATAACACAAGTCCTCAACAAAATAAATATTTTTCCCTTTTAATTTATTGCAATTTCTTAATATTAGGGACTTTTTTAAAAAGGACACGAATTCTATTTTAATAGCTTTTTTATTGCCTAAATTTATATTATATAAGTTATTTATATCTGCCACTGATACATTTATTCCAAGTAACTCCTTTATTTTATTTATAACCAAAGAAATTATATCTTCATTTTGATCAATATCAATTCCTATTATTATAATATTATTTTTACGACTTATTCTGTCGAAATTTAAACATTTTGTTTCAAGTATTTTGGTTTTCTGTTCAACTTGATCTATTCTGTTAAGACATGTATCTATTTTTTGTAAAGTTTTATTATTTTCACTTTTAATCTCTTTTCTTATTTGTTCACTTTCTGATTTAATGAACATAAACATGCGATTTAATAAATCAGTATTGGATATATCATTTTCCATATCTTTACGTATATATATATATATATATATATATATATATATATATATATATTTTTTTTATTTTTACCGTAATTACGTGATTAAACAATCCGTTAAACAATTTATAGTCTATCTTTCTCCGCCACTGTTTAGACTTTTTCGATTTTTAAAGGGTTTGCTATCCGGTATCACAATCAGTTTATCAAGACCAGTTTTTGTAATTATTAATTGTCTTTTTGGATTATTCTCTACATAAATGCTATTTATGCACTTTTACTCACTCTAGGTTTATTTCTAGTTACATTTTTTTATTTCTTCAGAAAGTAGATTTTTCACTGAACATTTTTGTATAAATCACTTTTTTATACGTACACATTCACACACATGATTCAATTTTTAGCGGAGCACGTTTTAGGACACTTGTTTGCTGATTGAAATCTTATATTAACATTGTGATTTACTTTAGAATCTTCATAAAAAAACAAAATATTAACGCCAGTAAATAAATAATTGTTTAATTTAATTGTATTGTTTATATTGTTAATTTCCTGTATAGAAAATAGGCACAGCGACCGACATTTCCCAAATCATAAAAATTTCTAGGCAGTCGACTTTTTGACATCAATGCTACCGCGACCTACAAATCTAAAACGAACGTCGTGGTGGCAGTTAACGCGATAAATTTAAAATATTTATTTGCCTTAAACTGAAATTTCGTGATTTTTGTATTTTCTACTTACTCCTGAGAGTATTGTGGAAGTGACACTGCAAGAATTGACTTTAAAGAATAAATAACTTTGTGTAGATGAAGATGTATTTGTGGATGATAATCATCAAAAATTTATTTCACCAGCTTAAATCGAAAAATATCGGCTTTACTTATGGAGTAGTAAAGAATTTATGTTTTGACTAAAATATCCAAGAGCTCCATATCGAAAGTTATTTCCAGCAAGGAAATTCGCTGCAGGAAAAAAATAAAACAAAAGTCTATGGTTCATACAGATCACTCAGTGACAACATTTTCTTTGTTGGGCCATAGCCCCGTATGACCGCCACTGGGTGAGACAAGTGAACTGAAATCCATTCTAAGAAATATATATGGAACAGGATATGGAATAATAAATTATTGTTTTTTTCAATTTTGTCCCGATAGTATATATAAAATGTTATAGCCTTGGATACAATGACACTGTTTTGGGCATGTTTTGATTAAACTTTTTTATTTATTATTCGAGACGTGTTGAAATTAAAATAGCTATTCTGACAATGAGCGTCGCAACGTTGAGCTTCTTTTAATTTAAACATTGAACCTTATAAAATGGCCCTCTGACAATTTGCATGCATTTATATTATCATCTCAGACTATTACTTTATTCTCATTAATACTAGTTTCGTCATTTTATTTGCTGGTTGAATACTATAAACATTATTTTTTTCAGGAGCCTTCTACCTAAAAACTACTTGAAAACTGCTTAAAAACTACTTAAGAACTACTTAAAAACTACTTAAAAACTACTTAAAAACTACTTAAAAACTACTTAAAAACTACTTAAAAACTACTTAAAAACTACTTAAAAACTACTTAAAAACTACTTAAAAACTACTTAAAAACTACTTAAAAACTACTTAAAAACTACTTAAAAACTACTTAAACTACTTAAACTACTTAAAAACTACTTAAAAACTACTTAAAAACTACTTAAAAACTACTTAAAAACTATTTAAAAACTACTTAAAAACTACTTAACTACTTAAAAACTACTTAAAAACTACTTAAAAACTACTTAAAAACTACTTAAAAACTACTTAAAAACCACTTAAAAACTACTTAAAAACTACTTAAAAACTACTTAAAGACTACTTAAAAACTACTTAAAAACTACTTAAAAACTACTTAAAAACTACTTAAAAACTACTTAAAAACTACTTAAAAACTACTTAAAAACTACTTAAAAACTATTTAAAAACTACTTAAAAACTACTTAAAAACTACTTAAAAACTACTTAAAAACTACTTAAAAACTACTTAAAAACTATTTAAAAACTATTTAAAAACTACTTAAAAACTACTTTAAAACGATTTAAAAAATATTTAAAACCTATTTAAAAACTATTTAAAAACTACTTAAAAACTAAGTACTTAAATATTACTTAAATACTACTTAAATACTACTTAAATACTACTTAAGTACTACTTTAATACTACTTAAATACTACTTAAATACTACTTAAATACTACTTAAATACTACTTAAATACTACTTAAATACTACTTAAATACTACTTAAATACTACTTAAATACTACTTAAATACTACTTAAATACTACTTAAATACTACTTAAATACTACTTAAATACTACTTAAATACTACTTAAATACTACTTAAATACTACTTAAATACTACTTAAATACTACTTAAATACTACTTAAATACTACTTAAATACTACTTAAATACTACTTAAATACTACTTAAATACTACTTAAATACTACTTAAATACTACTTAAATACTACTTAAATACTACTTAAATACTACTTAAATAATACTTAAATACTACTTAAATACTACTTAAATACTACTTAAATAATACTTAAATACTACTTAAATAATACTTAAATACTACTTAAGTACTACTTAAATACTACTTAAATACTACTTATATACTACTTAAATACTACTTAAATACTACTTAAATACTACTTAAATACTACTTAAATACTACTTAAATACTACTTAAATACTACTTAAATACTACTTAAATACTACTTAAATACTACTTAAATACTACTTAAATACTACTTAAATACTACTTAAATACTACTTAAATACTACTTAAATACTACTTAAATACTACTTAAATACTACTTAAATACTACTTAAATACTACTTAAATACTACTTAAATACTACTTAAATACTACTTAAATACTACTTAAATACTACTTAAATACTACTTAAATAATACTTAAATAATACTTAAATACTTCTTAAATACTACTTAAAAACTACTTAAAACTATTTAAAAACTACTTAAAAACTACTTAAAAAGTACTTAAAAACTACTTAAATACTACTTAAAAACTATTTAAAAACTACCTTTAAAAAATACTTTAAAAACTACTTAAAAACTTCATCAAAAAAATAGATTAAAAAACTACTTTAAAAAACTACTAAAAACTACTTAAGAACACTTTAAAAACATTTTAAAATACTTACAAACACTTAAAAACACATAAAAACACTTAAAAAATCTTTAAAATACTTAAAAACACTTAAAATACTTAAAAACACTTAAAACATTTAAAACACTTAAAAATAACTTTGACACTTAAAAAACAATCACTCAAAAAATACTCAAAAACTACTTAAAATTACTTAAACACTACTTTAAAACTACTCAAAAATTACTTAAACACCACTCAAAATTTCGGACTTACCTAATATTTAACAAACTCTAAGTAAACCTTGTATTGTTTTTAATTCTTACTTAATTTGTATTTTTTGTATTGTAGGAGTGATGATGTTAGACTGAAACTATTTGCGATAATCTGATTTTAGTATAGCGATATAAAATACAGAACTAATTTTTTTTTCTTATGTGGGACATCCTGTATACATCTAACAAATTTTAAATTGTAGCCGACTGTAACCTACGTATTCCTCCCAAACGACTTTTTTATATCTTTGGTCGTTTTCCCATAAAGCTCCGTCCCGTTGAGCGTGAGCCACCCTGTATAGTATATAGTATACAGGGTGTTATTGAAATACACGTACATATTAAAACTGGGTATTGCGCAGATCCCCACTGAATGTAGAAAAATATTATTTTTTAAAAATACCCCTTATTAAGGGAGTTATTAATTTTTGAAAATTAATTCTAAAACAAACGTACTTCACTGATATGTTGAGGATGACCTATATAAATTAGGTTTATTTACCTATTTTAAACATCAACAGTAATTAATATGCAAGTTTTTGTCAGATGATAAGAAAACTAGTCTTGTAAGAAATAACCATGTTGCCAAGATTTTCGAATTAATTTCTATTTCCGAAGACTGGTTTTTACTACCCTCGTTATCAAAAAACTAGAATATTTGATAAATGATTGTTTTTAAACTATACATTTTTGAAACAATAGATTATTAAAATTTTAGTTGATTTACGAATCTGGCTAACACGAGCGCGTCATTTCCAAGTTGGTAAAAAATGTTGTTACGATTACTTTTAAATATTTTTTTACGATGCCACTATT